GGAAAGGAATCATTACTTTTCAGATATCTTTAAAAATGTTGGATGCTCTAAACTGTTCTGCAAAATGTCTTTAGCTTGACATGAGCACATAAACAACAACATTGAACTCCAAATGCAACCAGAAGTAGAGGCTTCTCCAGGGAAGACCATGCTTATGAACACTGGAAAAATTCAGATGGGAATAGATAAAAGGACAATAAAACTTTGTTTTCATTGTTCGCTATGAAGACATTGTACAAAGAGAATGAGCTGTGAAAATATTTTTCTCCTTTCAAATGTATTGCATTTGTATATATATGTGTGTGTGTGTGTGTGTGTGTGTGTGTGCGCGCGCGCGTGTGTGTGTGTGTGTGTGTGTGTGTGTGTGTGTGTGCGCACATATCCATGCTCGCTAGTGTGTGTACATGCCACAGTGGTTGTGCATATGTGAAGGTGAGAGGATAAGCAGTGGGAATTGGTTCTTTTCTTTCCCCCAATGGGTCCTGAGGATTGAACTCAGGTCATCAGACTTTACAAAAAGTACCTTAATCCATCAAGCCATCTCACTAACTCTTTCTCTAGTAGGTTGTAGTCATATCTCTTATATGTAAGGGCCTATAGATATTTCAATGTGGAGTGAAGAAATTGAGAGCAATTAATTAGTTAAAGATTTCAAGTTTTTGTCAAAGTAAATCATGCTTTTAAAATACACTTTCCTAGACCAAATAATCAATTATCCCTTTATGACTGTAAGTTCCTGGCTTGAGAACTGTAAGTTTTTTCTTTAATATTTATTTGTTTAATACATTAATTTCATATCTGGTGTAGAGGCTAGTCTTTAACAAATGTCAGTGGGTGATATGAAGATGTGTTGTCCTTGTAGCCTAAATGTTCTATTAGCATAGACTAAAGGTACCAAATAATGGCTTCTATCATGACTTTTTGTGATGTTTGTCTTCCCCATTACTCTCTTGTCTCCCTGGACAGCTCCATTCAGTCTCTTTGCTCCTTAATTGCCCCCTTTTTAGTGAGAAAAGTACGTCATATCTGTTTTTGTGACTCTGACTTATTTTGTGATTTATTTTAGTTTAACTTCCAGTTCTAATTCATTTTTCTCCAAATAACATGATTTCATTATTCTTTACAACCAAGTAGTATCTATTGTGTATCCCATCTTGTTTTCTTCTCCATTATACTTTGATTGGCATCTAGGCTGATTCCATAATGTGTCTATGGTTGATACTGCTGCATTAAAAACAAGTGTATAATTTTCTTCAGTGTTATAGCCACAGGGAAGAGTACATGCTCTTGTAAATAATCCCTCATCTGGGATATTGTAAGTAGCCCTAGTGAAACTCACCAGGTCATCAAAAAAAAAAAAAAGATAAGGATAAAGATGTGAATGTAGAAGAAGGGCTAAGAGGGAAAAGGAAGGGATCCAGAGGGAGGAAGATGGGAACAGGGATGGATAATAGGTATGTCTATGATAAAAATACGATGTATACTTGTTTGGAAATGCCATAGTGAAACCTATTATTATGTATAGTTAACAGATACAAATAAAGATAACAAAAAATAGATATGCAGGTACTAGTATTATATGTTGACTTTTTTTATTAGTTCTTTGAGATGTTTGCACATGCTTTGATCATATTTACTCCCCTAACTCTTTGAAGACCCACCATCCCTTCCCTAGCCACCCGGCTTTACGCAGCACAAATACCCTGGTGTGGGATCTTCAACTGGAGCACTTCCCAGGAACTGCACTCAAAGAAAACTATCCTTTCTGCCCCCAGCAGCTGTTAATTGCCAAAAGCATCACAGCTAGGAATAGGATTTCATGACCAACACACATCTAAGAATTCATTTTATTTTTGATACCCACCCTGAAGGGGTGAATTGGAATTTCAGTGTAGTTTCTGATTTCTTGAGATTGCTTTCATGTATTTATTAGCCATTTGCACTTCTTTTCAGAACTTTCTGTGAAGTGCATGTTTTTTATTGAATGGATCATCTGCTCTATGGATGTTCGATTCTCTTAGTTGTTTATATATTCTGCACATTAATCTGCTCTGGTTGAATAGTTGCCCCAGATTTTGTCCCATTCTGTACACTTCACTCTGGTGGTTGAATCTTATGCTGCACAGAAGGTTTGTAATTTGTTGCAACACCCTTTGCCAATTCTTGCCATTATTTCTCAGTTATTAAAACCTTATGGAGAATCTTGTTGTCTATGTATTGTCTCCTAAGGGTATCAATGTTTCATGTCTTAAATTAATGCCTTTAATCTGTTTGAAATGATTTTTATATAGATGAGAGATATGGATCTCGTTTTCTTTTGAGTTACAAGTACTTCCTATGTTTACAATTTAGAAAGAGCTAAACCTTATAGTTCAATATCTATCTATTTATTGTGTGGGCTTTATTTATTATGCTGCTGGCTTTATGTCAACATGACACAAGCTATAGTCATCTGAGAAGAGGGAACCTCAGTTAAGAAAAAGCCTCCATAAGATTGGGCTGTAGGCAAGCCTACAGGACATTTTCTGAATTGGTGATTGATATGGGAGAGCCCAGCCCACGGTGGTTGGTGCCATCCCTGGACTGGTGGTCCTGGGTTCTATAAGAAAGCAGGCTGAGCAAACTATGAGGAGCAAGCCAGTAAGCAACACACCTTCATGGCTTCTGCATCAGCTTTTGCCTTCAGGTTCCTGCCCTGTCTGAGTTCCTGTCCTAACTTCCTTCAATTATGGAAAATGATGTGGAAATGTAAGCCAAATAAACCCTTTCCTCTCCAATTTGCTTCTGGTCATGGTGTTTAATCACAGCAGTAGAAATGCTAAAAGACACTTACTGTATTTTATTGTAGTAAAGTGCTTAAGAGTTAATTCATTCAGCACAATTTACCAAGTCAGAATAAACCAATACTTTTAGACTGTTTCAGTAACTGCTGTATTTTTCTATTAATAACTATAAAATATTCAGGCGTGGCTGATTTGCTTCAGGCTAGAAACTTTCAGAGTTGTCCTTGGCTTGCTCCATCAAGGATGGCACATAGGGACCTAACATTAAGTTGGAAATATGGAATTAGTTTTTGTAGTTTTCACTTTGGTGTGTCCTGTTACTCAAGTAGGAAGTATTGCTAAAAATTTAGTAAATATTGCTGTAAGCAGTTCTCAGTTTTAGGAATGTGTTATTAAATAGGAATGTGGGAAAATCTTTCATGGATTAATTGGATCAATATAGCAAGATTTTTAAGAACTGTTTTCATGGGAAATATGTTACTCTATGGAATGCTAAGTTTGAAAAGTGGACTTAGAATAGCTACCTATGTCATGAGTTGTTTATTTTCAGCTGGATTCCTCTGATTAGTAACTAATTTCACTGGTATTATGAATCCTGAGTACAATGTGAGTGGTGCTGTGATAGTGAAATATGTCATGGAGATAAGTATACTCAATCTTCATTTTCTTTTGGAAAACATTTCTGGAAGAAAATGATTACCTAGTTCTTATTTGTGATTTAGCTACAGAATGATGTTAGGTAATACTCCAATCCCACCAAGTTTTCCTGCCTAAGTTCTCTGGTGAGAGGAAGAAGAATAAATACACTATGGACACACAATCCAATTTCATCACATCCTGAGTTTTTAGTGGCAAATTCAAACATGAATTTGAAGAAACAACACCAGAAAGGTTTTTGTGAAAAGACATTTTCTCCATTTAGTTCATTCAAAATTGCCTAAGAACCAAATCTTAAAAAAAAAAAAAAGAAGTGTTTGTGTTGGTCGGGAGTGATGAATCTGGAGGGAGTAAAATCCCTCTGCATCTTCAATGAAAACGGAAATGGCTGCAATCCCATATCCTGAATTTGTCACAAACCTGCCAAATATATGGAATGTGGACTGAAATAAGCAAGACCATGCTTGGTTCTGAACTATCTCCTCTTATCTTTAGCAGGAAATTGTAAAAGTAAACATTTCAGTCTTGCAAGTGTGTCCAATTTTTATTTAATTAAAGTGAGGTGAGCCAGGGACATGATAGAAAACCAGAGAACGAAGATACACTCAAAGGGAAAACATGATGCTCAACTCTTATGTTTGACATCTCATAATAAAGAGAAAAAGCAGGGTGGATGAGCAAAGAGAACAGAGGTATTTCTAGGTACTCTGGAGCATATAAATTGAGAGATGTTGTTTTAAACAAGGAGATCTGTGGAGGCACAGCTTTAGACAGAGGAATAAGTAGACTCTTTAGAAGACTGATACTATCCTAGCTCAGGCTGGGGGGTCACACCTACATCCCCAGAATTCGTGAAGATGAGGAGTTTGAGGCCAGTCTGGGGTACATAGCAAGTTCAGTGCCAGTCTGCACCCCATTGTGAAATCATGTCTCAAGGGAATAAGTAATACCTAATCACAATGTTGGGGTGCTTTACCCAATTCTTTCTCTTTCTTTCACTACAATATTAGTTTTCATTTGTTCCTTGAGAATTTCAATCAATGTATTTTGGTTATTGTATTCACCCCAGCTCCCTTTTTTAACTCCTTCCAGATCCACTTGCACCTCCCTAACCCCCAACTTTATGCTCTTTAAAAAAATAACATTTTCACCCCAGCTTTTGCTGTCCATGTACTTCTGAGTGTGATGCCACTTGTGCAGGACTAACCTACCAGGATACACATCCTTGAAGAAAACTGGCCCCTCCCTTCCAGAAACCACCAGGTACTCACAGCTTCTCAATTAACATAGAGCATCACGAACTTCTCCCCACTACATGCTAGAGTGTTGACTGGCATGATCTTGTGCTAGCAACCACAGCTGCTGTCAGTTCATGAGGACAGTGGTCCTGTCAGAACCAGAAGACCGGGTTTCATTCTAGTTCTCACCAACCTCTGGCTCTCCAACCTTTTCATCCCCTCTTCAGAAATGATCCTTGAGCCTTGGGGAAGAGCTGTGATCTAGATGTGTCAGATGCCCGAGTGCCCTACTGACATTCATTTTCTGCACTTTGACAGTTGCAGGTTTCTGCAATGACCAAGAACATTGCACAAAGGAACTTCTTTGATGGGGGCTGACAGCTGCTCTCATCTGCAGGTGGAGAGATACAAATTTAGAGGGCAGTTTGTTACTGTGTCCACTTTACCAAATAACAGCAGTGGAGTCATCTCTGAGGCATGTGAACAGTCCAAGCAAAGGTTCTTGGCCTGATTCGAAGTACCAGGTATCTTGGCCTGATTCGAAGTACCAGGTATGGTGATATTTTATTTGTACTGAAATGTGATTTTATTTGTATGTTAATAAATAAAGTTGCCTGGGGTCAGAGCTATTAGCAAGCCATAGTGAAAGCCGGGTCCTTTAATCCCAGCACTTGGCAGGCAGAGTTAGGTAGATCTCTGTGTGTTCAAGGATACAGCCAGCATTGGAGACACACGCCTTTAATCTCAATACCAATCATAGAAGACCTGGAGGTCTGTACGACAGGCAATGACAAGGCAGTCATGTGGTTGGGTTTACAACCAATGAGAAGGCAGAACAGAAAGTCTTTATAAAGACAAACACACAGGAAGTAGGTCTCTTGGCTGAAGAGGAGCTGCAGAGTGAAGGGTAAGGCTCTTAGCTCTGACCTCCTGGGCTTTCATCTTTGCATTGGTTCTGTGTTTCTTATTGAATAAGATGGTTACTTCTACAACCAGGTATGTGCTTCTTACTGTAGAGTGGAGTTTCTTAAGTCCCACCAAAAGCTGGTTGATGTCACATAACATTTATGTCACTTTCGCATGCATGGTCATATCTTGCCATACTAGTCATTATTGCAGCTCATGGGCCTCATGGCTGGGTAAGCCCAAAGTGATTCCCCCCTCCTCTGCCGCCACCAGTGATCTATATAGTGCCTTCAAATATTATGAGAGATAGTCAATGGTGAGGAATTTTCTTAGTCAGGGTCAACTTGGGACCCAGGTGTGACTCCACAGTATCTTTAAACAAAAAGGTTGAAGGTATTTAAAGCTAAGTAGTAAAAAGTGGGTAAGTTTATGATGCGTTTCTAGAAAGGTTAAATAATGTATATTATAAGGAGAATAACCCAAAGCAGTTAGTAAAATAGTTTTATATATTTTAAAAAGTTGCAAACAAAATGAGCTCTTATGAACTTGGATAAGAGGGCTGATGATGTGGCTTAGTCAGTAGAGGGATTTCTGTACAAGTATGAAGACCCATGTAAAAAAGCTGAGATTGATCTCACATGCTTGTAATTCTAGTGAAGGGGTGGGAAGTCAGGCAGGCTGATCTCTTAGGCTCTTTGGACATATAGTATAGTAGAATCATCCAGCCCCAGGACACTGAGAGACTGGTGAATGGCTCCAAAGGAATGACACCTGAGGTTGGTGTCTGGCTTTTACACACATTCTCACACCCAGAAACACAAAGAAAAAAAATAAAGAAGGAATATAATATTTCAAGGAAGAAATGGACAAAGACATAAAGAGCAAGCTGGCTGAGACTGAGAAATAAATTGAAGAGAAGAATAGGTATTTAGCAAAGAAATAGTTTTTGCTGCTTACTAAAATGTAAAAACAGGTGAAAAGACTACATTATTATTATTATTATTATTATTATTATTATTATTATTATTATTATTATTAAACATAATAAGAAGTCTCAGCACACAAACATTTCTTTAAAGCTGTCTGCAGCTCTTGGTGCAAAGAAGGATGAAATCTAAAGCTCTTGTGTTCTCTGTTAAGGCACAGCTGGAGAATGACTCTGTCCCTGAGGCAGTCATAGGAACAGGGCAGAGCAGGCTGCAGTAACTCTTCTGTAGGTAGGGGAGAAACTGTTCACTGTGGGTGAACTTCAGAGGTAGCACTTTGGGTTTGAAACACAAAGAGCCAGGGACAGAACCAGTTCTTTCTGGTCAGTGTTTCTTTCACATGGGGATTTTGAGAGTATGAACAGACTGAAAAAAAGCCTGAACCAAAACAGAACAAAACCAGACTTGCAGTTTTGAAATGTCACTGTTTTAAAGCATAATTGTCTTGCATTCCAATGGTTTTCCATTTCCTTGGTCACAAATGACTGTAGTTCAAGGTCCCAAAGGTTTTCGTTGTCTGTCTTCCTTTTCTTTTCCCTTTTTCTTTGATTGTTCAATTTCAGACTTTTATTATTTTTGAGAGGCTGCATTTTCTAGTCCCAACACACACACACACACACACACACACACACACACACACACACACACACACACACACCATTCCTCACATGAGAAAGTCTTCCATGATGAACAATACCACAATGAATTGAGTAAAATCAGCAGTCAAGATGCCTGGAGACATGTTTGTGTCTCAGCCCCATCTAGAGGGACTTCAGAATTAAAACACTAGAAGTCTAAGGAGACACCTGTTTTCTTTCAATTTCCTGTGCTGTCACAGGGCTGGTATCTTTGATAAATTGAAATCTGTATTGGGATTGGCACATGGGAGCTGTGGTTAGACTCAGATCAAATGTGGATTTAGTACTTTGAAGATGAGGCAAGGATTGTCCTTCAGGGACATAGTAGAGGGTGTCACCAAGCTTCAGTATGGAATTCCTAACAAAATATGAAGGGTCACCACTTCAAGGCTGTGAGACTATAAGGCAGCAAGAGACAAAAAATGAAACGGAAAAGCATTTGAATAAGCAATGATCATTCATCATTAAAATTTAAGAAGTGCATTAACAAATCCAAGATAGTAGTAAATATAGCAAGAAATTGCTAGGAAAAGAACCTATAAGAACCTTATAAATTGCTGAAAGCCAGAAGTTTAGAGGAAATCTGAAAAGTGCTCAGAAAAATAAGTCAGATTGCACATATATAGTTAACAACGACATGGATGATGTTTGTCTTTTCATCTGAAACAGTGGAGATCAGAAGATAGTGGGAAACCATCATAAAATGCTGAATGAAAAATTATAGTAAACTTACAATTGTAAACCTCATCCTTTAGAAATGAGGCAAAATGTAGACTTTACAATAAAGGAAACCCAAGAGAATTTACTGCTACTAGTCCTTCCCTACAAGAAATGACTAAAGGGATTTCTTCAGGTTGAGGAGAAATGATGTCAAATAAAAGCTTAGCCCTAGAGGAGAGGATCCACACATATGGAAATGAGCGGTATATGGGCAATATAAGCAATTATGCCTCTTCCTCTTCTTTTTGAGAAAATCAATAACTTACAACAACAGTGAACTAAAAATTAGTATAATATACTTATCAAAGTAAAATATTTACCCACAGTAATGTAAAATGTGATGGAAGAAAGTCAGGTATATAGTATTGCCTGAGTATAGATTGCAAAAAGCTAAAGAATCCTTGCAACAGCCACTGAATTGTGCAAATAAATCCAGCTGAAATTTCAGTCAAGAAAACCATTGAAAAACATTCAGACAAAACAAGGCGAAAGTTAGTAATACAAGAATAAGGAATATACTGAACAGGAACTTCAAATATCAAATAATGGACTAAAACCCACCCACTACCACAGATCACACTGAAGTAAATGTGCTAATAACTTTAATATCAGAGATGAACAATTTTAAGAGAAAGGCCACACTATGTTAATTAAATACAAAGCTATATAAATCAAACTAAAGAGGATAAAACAGATAAATTGTGAGGAAAAAATGCTGTATGCCTAATATGAGACAAAGTAAACTTTAAGTACAATCAATAATGAAGGATATTTCACAATGACAAGGATTAACTAGGAAGATGTGACTTATTTTCCCCTTCCCTTCTTTCCTTTTTACCCTGATCCTTGTCTCTCACTCTTCCCCACTTCTCTGCTACTGAAAAAACCCAAGGCTTTGTGCTTATTAAATAATTGCTCTTCCATGTAGTTACATCCTCAGCACAGGAAGACATACCACTCTTAGATATACATCAACCTGATCAGAATGTTTCAAAATACATGAAACAGCAAGAAATAAATGGAAGAAGAGGTTAAATCAGAAACAAAAATAGAACTTTTAACATCATTGTGATGGTTAATTTTAGGTATCAGCTTCATGGGGCATCTATTAAATATTACTGTAAGTTATATCTGTCTGGGTTCCTAGAAGGAGTCAGCATTTGAAACATGGGGCCAAGGAAAGAAAAGAAAATTATCCTTCCAAGTATGGTTGGACAACAAGTCTATTTGTCTGAACTGATAAAAGGCAGAGAAAGGAAGAATCTGCTCTCCTTGCCTAGCTGACGGAACTTGGCACCAGTCTTTGTTTACCTTCAGCTGGACTTGTACCATCCCTGCCCCTGGTTCCTAGGTGCTTGGAAATGGACAAGAACAACCATGATCAACCAACCCATTCTCAGACTGGTGGACTTGGACTGAAGTTCATGCCATTCTAAGCAGGCTATGTATGTGTGTGTGTTCTATTGATTCTACTTCTTTGTGGAACCCAGATAGATATATTCATTTATGAATAACTTCTATAAATAATAGACAATGTATTAATATATTTAAAAATATTTACTAAAATTAACTAAAGTGATTTACTTGCTGTTTATTAATTGGTAAATAAATAAATAAATGCAGACTATACATTCTTTTATGCTCTTCTACAGTATTCACCAAAATAGGCCATATGCAAGGCTATAAGTCATGTCTGTATAAAATTCAAAGAGTTGCAGATATTGCACATATGTTTTTTTGATCACAGAGAATTTAATTGGGACTCATAACCTTTAGAAAACCCTGAAATATTGGGAAATTATGCCACACTTATTCTAAATATAACACAGTCAAAAGTATAAAAATGGAAATTAGAAAATACTTGGAACTCAACAATAGGGAAGGCATGATATATAGGGATGTAATAGATTGTTTGAAGTGTTTGGTTGCAATGATGTATCCCATCCCTTTGTGAATGTGGCCTTTGAAATATAGCACTTCGTTTAAGCTTCCCATCAAGAAATTTAAACTGGACTCTTTGGAAATGGAGATGATCTGGTTACATAGTTGATAGCCAACATCATCCACCAATCATAGGGGTTATATGAGCAGGATCCTTTTTGGGAGCAAGTATCTGTAATCCAGCCAAGGAAGTGGAAGAACCATTGATTTTATTTCAGCTAAAATGGTTGGGTTCAAATTCCACATACAAATAAAATGATTTTCATTTTGGGCACTCTACAGTAGAATTGTTGAGTGCATACCATTTGATACTAGATACAGAAACTGATACCTCAAAGGTGGTATTGTTTTAACAGAGAT